CAATCATCGAAGCTGATCCTCTTACAACTACACAAGAAGTTGCCCTAAGAACTCAGCGTCAGCCATTCTACAGTCATTCAGCAGTTGAAGCAAATTGGAAAGGTGAAAAAGCTTGATAAGTCAGTGCCTCAGGAGGTGACTGAAAAATCAAAAAAATCATCATTTTGAAGTGTCATCTTCTCTTCTTGTATGCAACAACAACAAACCATTTCTCCATCGGGTTGTGACATGCGTTGAAAAGTGCGTTTTGTACAACTGGTGATAATCAGTTCAGTGGTTGGACCAAGAAGAAGCTCCAAACACTTCCCAAAGCCAAACTTGCACCAAAAAAATGTCATGGTCTCCATTTGGTGGTCGGCTGCCAGTCTGATCCTCTACAGCTTTCTGAATCCTAGCAAAACCATTACATCTGAGAAGTATGCTCAGCAAATCGATGAGATATACCAAAAACTGCAATGCCTGCAGCCAGCATTGGTCAACAGAAAATGCCCAATTCTTCTCCATGACAACGCCTGACCGCAAGATGCACAACCAATGCTTCAAAAGTTGAACAAATTGGGTTACAAATTTTGCCTCATCTGCCATATTCACCTGATCTCTTGCCAACCAACTACCATTTCTTCAAACATCTCGACAACTTTTTACAGGGAGAGTGCTTCCACAACCAGCAGGAGGCAGAAAATGCTTTCAAAGAGTTCATCAAATCCCAAAGCACAGATTTGTATGCTATAGAAATAAACAAACTTAGTTCTCATTGGCAAAAATGTGTTGATTGTAATGGTTCCTATTTTGATTAATAAATATGTGTCTGGGCCTAGTTATAATGATTTAAAATTCACAGTCCAAAACTGCAATTACTTTTGCACCAACCTAATACTGTATTCTCTATTTTTTAGCCCTTTAAAAATCCAAATCGAGAATCTTTCAATTATTGAGATCAACCCACTTACATTTATTATAATCACTGTCATCTTAAAACTTATTTTTGCCATCATATTTAATATTTTCACTGATCATCATTTTACTTTATTCTTCCCTGCATTCCATTGTATAGATAAAGCTCCTTCTGCTGGTTTACCTAGTTTGTAATCCATATGCCACCTCTTGGGGTCTGGAGGGGAAGCAAGTGGAAGAGTAATCTCCTTAAGGTGGCTGGTCGGTCTGAATTTATTTTCATCAGCTCTTCAACCCCTACCCATTATACTTTTGTTCTTATTATAATTTCCCTTAAGACCTATACTATTGTTCATTATCCTTATTTAATTTCTTAAGCTTATTAGTATCTTCTCTTTAACTAAAAGATATTTCAGTACAATCTGATGTTCCTTGGAATATCCACTGTCCCCCTCCCCATCATATTTATAATGCATGTAACTTTATTTTGGGTTGATATTGACATACCTTTTTATTTCTTTTGTCCTTACTGTATTATTTTTTAGTAAAACTGACAATAAACGTTAACAAGATTTAGTGCATAATTCCTGGTACCATTCCCTCAACTGGTTTCTCCACTTCAATGCACTCAATGTTGAGTGCATTCCCAGGAGAGTTTTTGCTGTAGGTTATTATGAGACAGACTTTCTGAGACTTTTATGTATGTGAACATTATTATATCCTTACATCTAACAGGTAGATTGGCTGGATATAAAATTCTGAGTGTAGAGTTCTTTTTCCTCAATACTTAAAAATATTCTTCCTTTGTCCTTTCGTATCCAGTATTCTGACAGGGATAGAAACTAGACTGCTCCAAAAATATCTTGTTTTGTATACTTGAATTTGGAACCATGTAGATTTGGCTTTGGAACATAATTATAAAACAAAGCATTATAAATGGAATCCCTGAAATTTAAAAGTGAAATAAAATAGATAAACTGTTTGCAGTAACTTTAACTTGTTTTCAGTAACATAGTTTGTAGGTTGTATTGTATTTTTATTTTAAAACTCATTGTGGGATCAAAGCAATTACTAATTATGTTTGTGTCTTTAGGGAGGAAGATTTTTGATGCAAGAGAATGAATAGATAAGATAGATGAGGTTAAACCTTATGACCTGATTTTAAATCAGAAATATCATTATGAACTCATTATGTATTTCAGCTTAAAAAAAAAGAACTCAGGATATTTTCGTCTTAAGAAAAAAAAGAGGAGACATTTCCTCCCTCTTTTCCACTGAACAGGACTAGAAGCCAGATCCAATTGACTTGCAAAGAACACTCCTAGTTCTCACATTGTGTCTCTAAATACCAACATCCACTAAAAGGAGCCAGGGCTCCTTGGACAAATCGACACATCTAGGTCTGGGACAGGAAAGCAAGGGACTTATCAACGACTCTAAAGGTGATGTGAAAAGAACTCAGAAGCCAACTGAAGGGCTCTCACTGGCTAAAGAGGATAATTTGGCATCAATAAGAACAGCAATATGTTATAACACATGGAATTTTTTAAATTCACAAATTCAGAGACTACTAAACACAACTCATTGGTGACTTTGGAGGTGCTTAGAAACCTCTTTTTAAAACCTGTAAAATAAAAGAGTGTATCCATCATTATTCAGTGTTTGTATACAAACTATACCTCAGGGTAGCCAAATAATTAATCGGGAAAAATTTCTCCTTGTAGAAGTATGTGAGCTAATGAATAAAGAAAGAATGGCAGAATTAGTATATCACTGTTTTTAATCTAATAAAATAATGGATATAGCAATAATCAGCAATGGCTGATTATACACACACACACACACACACACACACACACACAAATACAATGGCAGTTAGTCATTCCATTTGATAGAAGAATACAACACATGTGAAGTGCCTTGCCCAAAACAAACAAAACAGAAAAGCAATACAACAAACAAAAAATGGGATCTAATCTGATCAAGACACTAGGTCTAATTCCCCATTGCCAAGATGTCCGGGGGCCACAGTGACATGGAAAATAACTCCTTGTGAATGAATAACCAGCAAAATCCTAATGGTGGGAAACTAGAGAGGGCAAGTGATGTGGTTTCCTAAATAAAGTATATGGGAAGAGGAAAGCGGGGGGGAACTTATATATATAGTTTCCTAAAAGTCTAAAAGCAGGAATAGATTGATAAATTCATGAAGCTAGAAAGTGGCTAATCAGACGACTTATTACACCTGCTGGGGTTGATTAAGAATAGCCAAAATTCTTTGCAAGAGCTGCCATCCAGAGGTGGAGTCAGTTTCCCTACTCCTTGGCCCTGTGCTGGTCATGCACCTTACCTTGACCAGTAGAAGGTGGCAGAAGCAACATTGCACACATTCCAAGAGTAGGCCACCTAGAATGCTGCTGCCTTGTAAACGTGTCCAAGTTAGACTCGTGGAGGAGGAAGAAGAGAAACAATCCTAAGCCCACCCAATGGAAGCCCAAACACGTGAGCCAGCCCAGCTGACACCACATGGACCCCACACAAGCCTACCAACCGAATCTTGCCCAAATTGCCAACCCACAAAATCATGAGCATATAAATGGTTATTGTTATAATAAGCTGGTTTGTTACACAGAAACAACTGATATATCTTCTTAACCCTAACCATGCCATAAAGATATTCTCTATTCTCACTGACTCAGAGCTTAAGTGTTTCTAAGAGAAATATTATCAAGAGCACTACACTTTTCTTTATTCTGTGAGTCATGTGAAGTTGTCAGAATCAAAATGGTATCACTAATGTTAAAAATAAAACAAAATAACCTCAACAAGTAGAGCTGTGATGGCCTTGAAGAGAGGGTTATTAGGCCTGTATGTCTGTTAGCAAGAACTATCACTAATTACTGCAAAAAGTACAATCTTACACAAAGGCCATTGCATCCTTGGACAAAAATACTTCTCCAAGAACACCTGACCAGCAACTGCTTCTCCAACCTCAGACCCCCATCACTCTTGCTAGTGATCTTCATAGCCAAGGATAATTATTTCTAAACACTTACGTAATCATCCTCATTTTTTCCTTTAAAAACTTTTGTCTTCCTTTACTTCCATGAATACACACATAATTTACTATGATATGCATATTCCCATTGTAATGTTTTACACCCAAATACATATATTTTTCTTTTAGAGAGCCTTCTCTGCTTATTATTTAGCTTGTCAGAAATTTTTTACTAATTCAACAATACTTTCACTGCGTGTCATCAAGTATGCATTAGGACAATAAGATTCCCCTTATTTAGGTTCGTGAGACTTTCTACTGCACCCTAGTGGCCACTAGATTATGAGCCACACATTCATCATTAACGTTGAGGAAGATCATTTAACCAACATTAATAAAGCGCGTTAAGGTTTTTCGCTCATACGTGCAAAATATTGTGGCAATTGGCCCCCGTGAGCTATGTCATAATTCGTAGCCTAGAGGTTAATATCTATTTCAAGATTCAACCAAGGCCAACTGACAAGCAAGTAAGAACTCATAAAAGAGGGATAAACCCACTACTGCAGGATGAATGTGATGCCGTGGCATGCCACAGGCCTGCGTCAGGTTCTCTGGAGTGCTGACTGTCCAACTAGTCACAGCTGACTCTAATCAGGTGAGGACTGGACTACCTCTACACTGAACCTGGAATTGGAATGTGAGATGCTTCTCACCTCTCCTTTCTGGACCCCATTTCAGAGAGAAAAGAAACAATCACAAGGAACGGAAGTCCTTGTCTTTTTCCTTCCATCCTTCCCTCCTCCGTCCCTCCCTCCCTCTCTCTTTATGTTTGTTTCTCTTCCTCGTCTCCTCTAGCTGGGTTCATTTTCATAAAAAGAATTTCAGCATTCAAACTTTCAGCTATGTGGAATTTGTTGACTCAAGATGAACAAAGAAACTCCTATTACACCATTATCTGATGGGGAACTTTACACGAGGCTGCCTTGCTAAAATTTCGTTCACGGTAATCATTAATCTTACCAAAGCCTGGAATGGATTTCCGCTTTAGCCAGGGCAGGGAAAACTACTGTGGCTCATCTCCAGGTCCTCCCCATGCAGCCTGTGCCAGCTTCTTAACCAGGACTCGGGACTCTTACCTGTTCTCTCACAGCCGTCTCTGCACCAACCATGGCCACCTTCGTGGAGCTCAGTACCAAAGCCAAGATGCCCATCATCGGCCTGGGCACCTGGGGGGTGAGATGCAAATCTTTGGACACTCTGCTTCCCTGAAGGGGCATTTGAGTGTTCTCTTCTCTCTGCGGTTAGCTGGGAAAGCCCTGAGGCTGGGCAGGGGTTTGGCAAGATAAAATTCAGCCCTAGAACCAGGATCCAAGTTGCTTTCTTTTCTCAGGGCTGATTCAGGCTGCAAAGCTCCAAGATTAGATAAGAGCTTCTCTAGCAACCTTCAAGCTTCAAGCAGGGGTTGGACTTAAAATTGTTTTCCAGGGACATTTCTCTAAAATACTTCCTGAATCTAGGACACTTAAAGGAACTCAATATTTCAGGAGTCTTGGCCCTTTGCTGTGACCTGGGTAGCTGAGAAGAACAGATACAGAGCTCTGAATGCCCTGGTACTTCTTGCTGCCCACAGTGTGGGACTTGGACCAGCAGCTTGTTAGAAATACAGAATGTCAGGCCGCACCCCAGGCTACTGGATGGGCATCTGTACATTGACAAGATCTGTAGGTGATTCCCATGCATGTTAAAGTCTGAGACATGCTGAGACCACAAAGAGCCTGGGCTGGGGGTCAGGAGCTCTGGTCCACCTGGCTGTGTAAATGTCAGCTGACAAAATACGGCAAGGCACATCCCAGTGCTCAGGGAGGAAGATTCCTGAGCTCTCTTGGGGTGAGTTTGACATTGTTCCTCATCTTCTTACTCTGCCTTCTTTGCCATTTGCATCAATGGTAGCACCTCCCTAACTAGGTACCAGGAGCAATCCTTGGATTTTCTCTTCCCTCTTGTCCCTGACAGCTAATCTCCTGTAGAGTCTGCCTCCTCTGACTCTTTGTTTCTTTGCGCCTGTTCTCCCGGGCTGGAGGGCAGGAGCCCTTTTTGTTTCAGTGTTCAGTCTTTCTCAGGAAAGCTTGGCTAGGTTGGACCAAAATGTGATATTTGTAGTACTATTTCATTTCTTTATTTCTTTTTTTATCCTTTTCTTTTCTTTTCTTTCTTTCTTTTTTTTTTTACCATGAGGGTGGAATACAAACTCCATTCCAAAAAGTTTTTCTATTTCTTCTTTTCCTGAAGCAATAATTATCTAATGGATTGCATCTACTGAGCCTTACTGTGTGTGAGGTGATGTGCTAAAACTTCACACTCATCGTAGCAGGTAATCGCCAACACGGTCTCATATGGCAGGTGCTATTATTTTCCCATATTGCAGGCAAGGTTTAGAGAGCTTGAGTCATCTCAACCCCACACGGGAAGTATGTGGTGGAGTATGGGTTTATGCTGTAATGACCATTTTTCAGATCCTTAACAGCGTTTGGGGAACTTGTCTAAAAATTCCCCTGGGTTATTTGGAGTCCAGTTTTTAGCCTGGTCTTTAGAAAGTTGCAGCGGAGACCATCTGTCCCCCACATACAGCTGTAGACATTTCAGGAGTAACCTGGATTAGAAGGAAATTGACTTTTAGCTAGGATAGGACATGAGGTCATAATCATAAAATTATTATAACTTACTTTCTTCCTTCTTCTTTTGAAAAGTTCACCAAAGTTTGTATCCCCTGGAAAATGGACCCAAGGGAGGTTTGAAAAAGTTGAGCTTCAATAGGGAGAGCCTATTGAAGGTAGTCTGTGGAGAAGAGGATATAGTGTTAGCAGAGCATAATGCTGGGTACCTATAGTTCCAGCTACTTGGGAGGCTGAGGCAGGAGGATCACTTGAGCCCAGGAGTTCGAGACCAGCCCAGGATATAGTGAGATCTCATCTCTAAATAAATAAATAAACAAAAAGAGTATATGATGGGCTTTCCTCTTTCTTTGCAGTCTCACCCAGGCAAAGTCAAAGAAGCTGTGAAGGTGGCCATTGATGCAGGGTATCGCCACATCGACTGTGCTCACATCTATCAGAATGAGGGTGAGGTGGGGGAAGCCATCCAAGAGAAGATCCAAGAGAAGGCTGTGAGGAGAGAGGACCTATTCATCGTCAGCAAGGTACACGGGGCTCATCTGGGGGGAGGACTTCCCTTCAAGGCAGGGGGAAGAATATGGATCTGCTCAGCAGCAAGAACTCTCTGGGCCTCTCCTGTACGGACCGATTGTCCATCCTCTTCCTCTCTGCCTGTATAACAGAGGTGGGTACAATGATGTCCACACTGCAGACCAGCATCGGGGCTGGAGATGCTGCTGCTCCCCCTCCCCCACCTGTGGGTTGGTTTCCATAGACACTCAGAGTCCAGTTATTCAGAACCCTAAATGAGCCCCCCATTCCCCACTGGGGGATCTATCTGCTCACTGGCAGTCAGAGGCTGGGGGTGCTATCAGGGCTTCATGCAGACCCTGCCTTCCAGCACTGTAGTCTCAATGGCGTGGCCCTTAGTTCACGGCTAGAGGATGTTTTGGAAAACAGTGGGGGCATGTTTTATTGTCACTCATGGGTTGTTTTTTTTTTTCCATTTCAGTCTAGTAAAAGGTCAGTTATAAAATGTTACAAATAAAGAAGTGGCTGTTGGATGTGAGGGGTAGAGTCACTGGATCTGTATAATACACAACTTGCCAAAAAACACTAGTTTCAGGTACTTGGAAAGCACACGCATGTGGTGGGAGCAATAGACCCCAAGGCGTGCAGTGGTCAAGCGCAGAGAAACTCCTGGTAAAGTCATCCTTAGGGCCCAATAGGCTTGGAGATATCACAGTGCAGAAAAAGGACCCTCTGCTCCCAAAGGCATAAGAATGCTTGAAATTTGCAAGCTAGACACAAGTCCTGTCCCCAGAGAGCCGACAGCTGAGGAAGAGAATTACACAGGAAATCAAATATAAAATCAGTGGCCACATTTGCTAAATGATATGAGAGACATGTAGAGTACTAGGAGAGGTGAAAATAAATGGCCTTCAACTCTTGAGAAATGTCATTGACTTGCTGAGCCCTGGTGACCTTCCGTACTGGATCATGTATTGTAACAAATTTTACTATAAATAATCCTTCCCCAGGTTAGATCAGGTGCAAATCAAAAATCAGGGAGAATGAGTATGATGGGGCTCTCTGTTTCCCCAGTATTAAGGCCTCATTGCTACCCTCTTTGCAGTTGTGGCCCACCTTCTTTGAGAGATCCCTAGTGAAGGAAGCCTGTCAGAGGACCCTCAAGGATCTGCAGCTGAGCTACCTGGACCTCTATCTGATTCACTGGCCACAGGGATTACAGGTTTGAGCTGCCCCCTTGCTCCGTGTCTAGTTTCTGAGCAGCTGCCAGAACATGGCAGTTGTGCCAGGGCTGGGGGTGGTGTGGGCTGGAGCAGGAGGACTTGCCTTTCAGAACTGTGAACTGCAGGTGGTCAGGAGGAGACTATGGAGCAGAAAGTACTGTCCTGGGAGGGAGGCCACGGCCACATGTGGCTGTTGAGTTGGCCACGTGCCTGGCTGTAATTGATGTTATTTCTGCCAGAAACCATGATTTCTGGCAGCCCAGACAAGCCTCCACTGCTATATCACCTTTGTCTTGATTCTGTGCCCAGGCTTCCCCTCCCAGGAGAACTCTTGGAATATTCTTGCATAATACTACTTCAGGGTCCAATCTTCTTATTAACCAAAACATACCCTGGGAGTGGCGTCTTGGAGAAAAGTCCAACTCTGGTGCTACTGGAAGGTACCAGACAGCCCACATTCGAGAAACCGTACTCATGGCCTGGGGCTGTGCTCCTGCCTGCTCCTAAGAGGTGGGAGGGACACGAATTCGCAGCTAGGGTGATGATGGCATGCCACCCCTAACTCCATGTTTCTAGAAGCTTCAAGGATAGAATTTGGCCAATATCTTATCCTAGAAAATAATACCCTTAAGATCCAACCCTTATCTAGTGATCCTAAAATTAGAGTTGTCCGCCAAGTGTATATGGGATCTGAATGCGTGAGGTTAATGTCCATGGTGATAGTGGTGGATTCTGGAATGTGCTGACAATGGATTTTAAAATAAATCCAGCAGTTTCCAAAATATAAGGATTTACATACTACAGTAGGCTAATATAGAGATTTTATTGCAACTCACAATTTTAAAGTGTATACTCCGGAGCTTGAAAATGTGGTGTGCAGGTGTGAGTCAGGATCCTGAAACCTCGTTTAACAGAACCAAGAGTCTGGATACACATCTCAGTAAACTTCTTGTTCTATATTTACAGCCTGGGAAGGACTTTTTCCCCAAAGATGACAAAGACAATATCCTTGGCAGTAAAACAACATTCTTGGATGCCTGGGAGGTAGGTTCCAGCTTCTTCTGAGTGTGCTGGAGAGAAAACTTTCCTTCAGTCACCCATGAGACTCCACACTGGTATGAAGGAGCCCACGATCCTGATGCTGTCTAATGTCATCATTGTCATTCTCTAGTTCTTCCACTCCTTCCTCCTCATATTTGGCTTTTGGGTCCGTCTGACACTATTTAAATTTCAAGGCTAACCTTGAGTCCTCAAATGAGACTGGAGTTAAGATGTGCCACAATTTGGAGGACACACATGTTGTTCTCAAAATACAAGGAGGCATTTGGAGTAGAGATTTTGGCCTAGGTTTGCAAGTATTGGCTGAGTGACCTGGGGTAAGTTATTGAATTTCTGTAAGCCTCTGTTTCCTCATCTTAAGAAACAAAAGTATTACCCTCCATACTAATAATACATATCTCTCAGGATGTTGTAAAGATTAAGATAACTGCCATGCCAGGAACTTTAGTCATGGAGACCATTTATCATTCGCCCTAGGAGGCAGTGTTATCCCCTTTTACATATGATAACACTGAGACCAATATAGGATGGTAACTGGTCCAGGTCATGAAGCAAGTGTATGATAGAGCTGGGAGGGGACCCAGGTTCATTCGGGCTCACAAGTCCAACCGCCAAACTTGTTTGTACAGTTTCTGGCACACAGTGAATACAAATCCAAACACCTCTCAGCTCAAATAATGACCTGTTTCACATAATTCATATTCAAAGTTGAATTAAGAGTTGAAAGTTTTTCTCATAATCTTTTTTGTGGCCTTCTCTTAAACATTTATTATGAAAGCAAAATGTATGTTCACCTGATATATAACAGTTAAAAATGGTAAAGCAATACAAACAACTTGTTACTAGTAGCATGCAGTTGGAAGAATCTCCCCACCCTGCATTCTCGGTCTGTTCCGGGCAGGCCCAGTCTTTGCTGAGCTTGCTACTGCCTACCCTCCCTCATCATAGTGCAGGTAAAACCAAATTTTATAAAATTAACAATTTAAGGTTAAATAGGCTTAAATAAGGTTATCAAATACAAGACCCTTCATCGAAGCTTCTGTCCAAAGATAAACAAATCTGGCATTGTACAAGTGATTCCGCTGGCTCACAGCATATGGGGAATGAATAAGCAGATTTACTCTTTATTGTTTTTCTTTTTGTTTTTTTAGCAGAGCAACTATACAAAAGTAAACTAAGAGTTGAAATGACTACTGACAACTCAGCCATTTACAAGGCATATGTATCTTTTTTTTTTTTTTAAGTCAAAACACTGTTAATATTCAGGTACCATTTGTTCCTGCAAATAAATAAGTCTCTAAAGTAACTGCATTAGAACTAGTGTTAAAGACATCAGTGCTTTTACCCCCTCTGATTTTTTCTTGAGCCATTATATCCTCTTGTAAATAAATATTAGTAGAGAACAAAGTGCATGGACATGTTGTAAATGAATAATGACAGGACTCCAAGAGTTCATTGTGTCATTTTGTGAGCTGTCTGTGTAGGGTCACACACACTTGCGAGTTTATGTTGCGTTTTAGAACCTGAAAATGTAGTAAGCCTAACCTTTCTAAAATGCTTGACATGATTAAATGAAATGTAACTTTTCTGTGGATAGTTCCTTTAAAAGTATTTATCTACAAGCGCAGTATTCTTGCTGCTCTGATCTCTAACAACTAGCAGCGAGAAAATTTAGAGAGCACAACTGACATGGTTACTGAGGGAAAGGGTTGTGAAGCAGAGAATTAGTCATTTCGTGATGGCGATGTTAGCAATCGTGTGAATGCATTTGAGAGAAATGATTTTGACGAGTACAGTTGTCCCTTTGTATCCGTGGGTTCTGCATCCATAATTTCAACCAAATGTGGACTGAAACTATGGGAATAAAAGATAACAATACTACAGTAAAATATAATATAAATCCAAAAGGACAGTATCACAACTATTTACATAACATTTACATTGTCTTGGGTATTGAATCTAGAGATGATTTAATGTATATGGGAGGATCTGTGTAGGTTATGTGCAAATACCACACCATGTTCCATCAGGAACTTGAACGTGCAAGGATTTCAGTATCTGCGGAGGGGGTTTGGTCCTAGAACCACTCTGGCATGGAGACTGAGGGACAACTGTGAATCATTAAATTTGCCTATTTTTTTAACATGTAGAACACCTGCTAAAGGGAAGTGTGGAAAAATCTACCTGGATTTCTATGGGTGGATTTTTTGCTTTCTCTCTTCCTTTTTTTTTTTTTTTTTTGCATAATGACATTTTTATTTCAACATACTAGTTTAAATATAAATGGTCACTTGCACATATTGTTCTCTACTGGTCTTTTTTTTTCTTTTATTGAGACATACTATTTCACATTTTTATAGGATACATGTGATATTTTGTTGCATGCATAGAATGTGTAATGATGAAGTCAGGGTATTTGGGGTATGCATCGCCATGAGTATGTATTGTTTCTCTATGTTGGTAACATTTCAAGTCCTGTCTTCTAGCTACTTTGAAATACACAATATATTGCTCGTAACTATAGTTTCCCTAGTCACCAATGGAACATTAGAACTCATGTCTTCTGTCTAATTGTAAGTTTATATCCATTTACCAACCTCTTCTCATTTCCCCCTCCCACCCTCACACTCTGCCCCACCTCTGGTATCTATTATTCTCTTCTCTGTCTCTATGTGATTAAGTTTTTTAGCTCCCACATCTGAGTGAGAACATGGTATTTGTCTTTCTGTGCCTGGGTTATTTCACTTGACATAAAGACCTGCAGTTCTATCCATGTTGCTGCAAATCACATGATTTCATTCTATTTTGTGGCCAAATAGTATTCCAGTGTATATATACTGCATTTTCTTTATCCTTTTGTCCACTGATAGACACTTAAGTTGCTTCCATATCTTTGCTATTGTGCATAGTGTTGCAATAACCATACAAGTGCAGGTATGCCTTTGATACACTGATTTCTTTTCCTATGGATAGATACCTAGTAGTGGGATTGCTGAATTCAAATGGTACTATTTTTTAATTTTTTGAGAAATCTCCATACTGTTTTCCATAGTGGTTGTATTAATTTACAGTCCCACCCAGAGTGTATAGGAGTTTCTCCATACATGGATAGATTTTAAAAACTGTTCTGAAGCTCTCTGGGTTATGTATAAAGTAAAAAAAAAAAAAAGAAAATGTAAAAAACCCCAAAGAACTACCAGCCATAATAATAAAGTGCCATCTATAGTATGACCATTAGATTTGTTCAGCAAGGATATGTCATTTGCAGTTCAATTCTACAAGTCAAAATTAGCAATAATGAAAGAGCAACAATTCATGTAATTAAGAGCCATACTAAATAAATTATTGAAAATATCATATCTTATGAGCAACAGACTACACATAGAAGTAAATCAAATACTCTTGGGAAATTTATGAAGTTAGCAACTTATCATACATGTCTGCTACCTTCCTCATATAACTAAGTATAAATCCATGGTAACATGTGACAGAACACCATTAATGTATTAATACAAGCTGTGAGCTGGTTCAGCCCACATGCTAGAAAAAGTGTTCAAACTACAAGTTGACACTGCTGTTCTTCTTTAAAAAATTTACATATTCTTTTTGCCTTAATGACCACACAAGTCATTATCCAACCATATAGTCTTACATACTTGTTTGATATAGTTACTGAAATAAATGTATTAAGCTTCATCCATCAAAAAAAGATACTACTTTCTTTTTGAGAGTGTCAAAATTGTAGCCATAAAAAAAGTTGAATTCTGGTACTTAACTAAGGAAAAAGACTAACAAATTTCTTTTCCTGCCATAAAAAACTTCCTGTTGGAGAATACTTGAGAAAGGATGGTTTGACGAGCACTATAATGATTTATGTGCATGGACTCAACCCAACGAATATTTTATTGCTGAGAATGGAAATTGTGGCAAGATTGAGAAGATAGTCTAAGATCTCTGTACTCATCTTTGCATTAAATTTCCTAGGAGGGCTCTGTCATATCTATTACCCTAGTAAAACATGACCTCTTAAATATCTTAGGAATTATTCCTTGTGAAATATGGACACTAGCATACTTGTAATGTCAGTTCCACCATTTTTTTTACCCTAGTTCTTATGATGATATTAAGTATGACAGGTATCTCATTGTCCGCTGCAAAATGTACCCTGATTTCCACAGTGCTATGTCTTCTGCATGAATACAAGAACGATTGCTGTACAATACATTTTGAAGTCATGAAAAGATATTGATGGTCAAGGACAGAGGCTGTTATTCAGAACAGGAAGCATTGAAATGTAAGCCTTGGATGCTTAGATGGACCCACAACAAGTTCAGTAGAAACCTCGTTGACCACCTGAAAGCAGAGAGGGGCAAAAAAAGCATAAAGAAGTCGAGATGTATCATACAGGCAACCTAAACCTGACCTATGGCACACAAAAACTTTTATATTATCTCACTGCCCACTTGGGAGTTTCAGGGACCTTATGATCACATCAATTCTAAACTCTTTTGCCTAGTTTGAAGACATTCATCATCTGCCCTAGCGATTCTCAGCTTTGTGCATTAAAATCACTAGAGGAGTTTCAAAATCACAATACTGGGCTGCATCCCCAATGAAATCAGTAAGAGGCTCTGGGGGTAAAAGCCAGGAACCAGTGTTTTCTAAAGCTCTCAGCTGATTTGAAGTTGCAGCCAAAGGTGAGAACCATGGCACAAGTATGCCCTGAACACACCTTGTTTCCTCCTGCCTCTAAGCCTCTGCTTCTGCCTTCCTCCCTCACTTCTCTTGTTTTTCCTCTCTTGCCTCCAAGTTTTTTTTTTTTTTTAGTTCTACCAGTATGGTCTCCCCTGAAATTTGTGGTCTGTGTGGATCCCTTCCTTCTCTGCCCTCACTGCTTCTCAGTGCTGGGCCACTGTCACATTGAGGCAGCCTCTGTGTTGTGGCTGTTTGCTCCACAGATGGGAACCTCAGCACTTTACTAGGACTGTAAGGACCTCAGATGAAGGAAGCACATGGTATACTTTTATATCCCAACAGCTACTGGACAGGACCTGGACATGGAATAAATGCCTAGTAAATACATGTAGAGTTTGGGTTGCTGCTAACCCATATGGTATCTTTGGGAAAGTTTGCAAAAGGCCTATTGTAGGCTAAAAATTATAAAGAAATCCCTTCCTTGGGGTTGATGTAGTTTCTGCACCAGAGAGCATGGCTGGGTAGGTGGAGAGTTTACCAGATTCCAGCCCCACACAGCCCCTGGGCTGGGTGGCCCTGCCAGGGCACAATGTATCTGTGTGGCCATCTCCTACTGCAAACCACACCGTGGGTGGTGTGGGAGAGAGTCACCCAGAACCAGACAAGTGATGCTTCTCTACATACTGCAGCCTCATCCCAGCTGACCCAGCTCCCCAAGGTTTGGCTAAGGCGAGAGCAGCAAGCCCGTAAATCTTTCCCTTTTACTCCCAGTTTCCCTGGGGCTGGGAGGGGCGGTAGGGCTGGAACTGACACTGATGGGCACCCCAGCCTGGACTGAAGTTTCCTTTCACTGCTGCAGCCCACCCTGCTGCGGTGGGTGCTTTACCAAAGTCCCCTGCCCCAGAGAGACTGAGGCAAGCCAGGGTCCCTGTTGTCCCTCTGGGTGCACAAGAGGTGTCCCTTTCTCTGACAGGCCCTGGAGGAGCTGGTGGACGAGGGGCTGGTGAAAGCCCTTGGCATCTCCAATTTCAACCACTTCCAGATCGAAAGGCTCTTGAACAAACCTGGACTGAGATATAAACCAGTGAATAACCAGGTAAATTCTGTCTGGGAAAAGGTCAGGGGTTTTGGGCTACTACTGCTCACACATTTGGAGGCCAGTTCGATGCTACGTACTGAGTCTCCCCTCAGGCGTCAGTGATCAGGGCACTCTGGGGAGCTGTGAGACTCTTCTCAGGGTGGGTTGGCAAGTGTGTCAGTGGGCAGGTGTTTGGCCTTTGCTTGGTGGTCTTTTTTTGTGTGTAGAACCCCCTGTGAGCCACTCAAAAAGCAGGCTGACTTCCCTGGTGCTGAGGACTGTGTGCTTTTGCAGGTCGAGTGTCACCCATACTTTACGCAGGAGAAACTGATCCAGTACTGTCACTCCAAGGGCATCACTGTCACAGCCTACAGCCCCCTTGGATCTCCAGATAAACCTCGGTGAGGCTTCTGAGTGGTGGGTCTTTCTGTTGATATTCTTAAAAATATTATCTAATAATTGATGTATTTATCAGACTGTTCATCAGAAGGAAAAATGTATCTAAGGTAATGTGTTTGAAGCAGCCACATAGAATTAGAGTGGGAAAAGATAGAATTAAAATGGTGACATGCCTGACTCTCTAAGAATACTCCAGTTCATACACCCAGGGCTGGACTGGAACAGCCTTTGCAAAACACTGATGCTCAGAGCCCATGTGTGGACTCATGGGAAGGAGCCAAAGCTTTCAGGTTTTCCTGACTGTCTGGCAGATGGTGAGGCTGTGATGATTCCCCTGGAGTCATCATTGGGGTGATAATCCATCTCCATAGGGTAACCGTGGTGATTATTCACATCCACCATCTTTCTGCCTACAGGGCCAACCCAGGTTTCTCTTTTCCACTGGACGATCCCAAGATTAAGGCAATTGCTGCAAAGCACAAGAAAACCACAGCTCAGGTACATTGTTTTTGGTTTATTTTTTTAATTCAGGAATTTTTTTCCAGTCTTGTGTTTATGCCATGTTCATTTAAGTTCCTGAAGGGCAAGAAAACAGGAGATGAAGCCCACAAATGTGCTTCTTTCAAAGTCTTTTGGAACCTCCAGGAAATACAGGGATGGTCACAGAAACAAGGATCACCTGTGTCTAACAGCTTCCTGTGAAATTTTATAGCCCAGTGACAAAGCATAGCTTTGGCCTCTTAAGATCTGGCTTCAGATCCCAACTCTACCACTTATCAGACTTATGATGCCCAAAGCCATTTTCCTTACTTCTAAACAATGAAAATCACAGGGTTGTTGCTAGGATTGAGGGTGTTAATCAAGTGGAGGACTGGAAGTGTCTCTGATAGTTGTTAAGTGCTCAGAGAACACTAGCTGTTGTAACTAAAGTCACAGTGAGCTGGAGAGATGTTTTATTTTTCCTTCCCACAGAAGGAGGGGTCTTGTAGATCAGTGGAAACATAATGTCCCCTTTCTGCACAGGTTGCGATCCGGTTCCATATCCAGAGGAATGTGGTTGTGATCCCCAAGTCTGTGACACCAACACGCATTATTGAGAATTTTCAGGTAACATCCCATCTAGTTGGCCCTGGTGTTCCTCACTAAAATAGGGTCAGGAGAGACCCTATCACTAGGCTTCTCAATCCATTTCTGCATTGTCTGTGGCCCTACCCCCTTTGACCACCCTGTCGTTCTCAGTCCAGGGAGCTACCTAGCAGAGCTGAGGTGACTGATCCATGGGCTAAGGACCAGTTCCTGCCCTCTGGTGGGGGTGGAGCTCTGTCAGGTCTGATCCCATCTGTGCCTCATACCACTGAGAAGACCCTTGAATTCCCCTGAGCAGTGAGGTCATGGACCACACACAACAGCAGACTGGCCCGGCCCTAACGCCCATCTGCCAGCAGCAGAGGAGGTGTGGACTGTGTTTGGAGCACTGTCCTCTGGAAGACCCCATCAGGGAGCACAGATAACATGCACACCTGTGGTTAAATGTCAGCCTAGTCTCCCTCCCTTTGTAGCACTAAATCCTATAAACACTGAGTCTTTGTGTAAGACTTAATTTAGAGAAAAGTTTGTAACCAGTGAACATAACGGATGAACCTCCTGTGTCCAGTTTGTGCTCTGGATGTGAGCTCACTCCATGCTTGAATGGCTGGTGGTCTGAAATATCAACAGTGATTGCCTGACCAGTGAAGTAGTGGAACTTTCCCCTTTCCAGGTCTTTGACTTTAAATTGAATGAGGAGGAGATGACGACCTTACTGAGTTGTAACAGAAACTGGAGGGCCTTCTCCCTGGACCTGTAAGTGGCATGAGATTAAGTTAACAAGGGGGATAAACAGGAGTTCTTTTAAAGTGGTCGAGGGTTTCCTGGAAGATTGGAAAGCACCTATTGATGACTTTTGTTTTCAAATTGCTTTTTTCTGGCATTTAAAAAAATTAAGATTGGCATACCTGGGAATCATTATGAGGACAGAGACATTCATAATTGCTGTTCATTGTCTGAAGTTCTGGATGTAGAGCTAGAATTTTAAGAGAGGACCAAGTCATCACTAGGTAGCAGGCAGTGCATTCATTCATTCATTCGCTCAGTAAATATTTATTGGTCATCTACATACAATGTGCCAGACATTTTCGAGGTGTTTGGGTTATCATATTGCACAAATTCCTGTCTCATGAGCTTATATTCTAGGGAGGGAGAACAGAAATAAGTCAACTGAAACTATATATGTCAGATAGTAACAAATGCTATACAGAAAATAAAGTAGGGTAAAATGGGTAGGAAGTGCTGGGTGGTGGTGGGCTTGATGCTTTATGTGGGTGGGTCAGGAGAGACTTTGCTAAGGTGAAAACTGAGCAGAAACCTAAAGGAGGTGAGGCAGGAGCCCTGTGGATGTTTCGGGAAAGAGCATTCTTGGCAATGGTAACAGCAGGTGCAAAGGCCCTGCAGTGCGATGGTGTTTTGAGCATTCCAGGAGGAGGGCCTTGAGGCTGGAGCAGAATGAGTGAGGGCAAGAGTGGGAGGAGATGCAGTCAGAGAGAAGTGTCTGGATCTTGGAGCATGCAGAGTGGCATAGGCCACAGGCAGGCCATTGATTTTAGCTTTGAGTGGGGTGAGAAGCCATTGCAGGATTTTGCAGGAATTTGAGTAAAGAAAGGGTATAATTTGACCTATGTTTTAATGGAACCACACTGACTTCTGCACTGAGAGAGCACAGAAGACTGTTGTAATAATCCAGGGAGGAGAAACAGTCCCGGGACCCGGACGATGGTGGTGCAGGAGCAGAGGAATGATCAGATTCTGCATATAGTGGGAAAGTAGAGGCAAGTGAATTTGCTAACAAATTAGGAGTCAAAGATGCCTCCAAATTTTGTTTCTTTTTGTGTTTGCCTGAACATCACAAGAATAGATTTGTCATTTGGGGGAAGACATCAGGAGTTTGGTTTGAGATATGTTTGTGTTTCTATTAGACACCTAAGAGGGGCTGTCAGATGGGCAGCTGGGTACATCAGTGTGGAGGTGGGGGGAAGGTCTGCGCTGCAGATAAATATTTGGCAGTCAGGACACATGGGTGGTGTTTAGGGCCACAAGATTGCGTGAACAGTTACTGAGGAGAATTTACACCATCAGTTATAGGATTCTGGAGTTCTAGGCGTTGTTATTTGAATGCCTCTTAAAGGAGGTAGGAGTAACTTTACCTTAAATTCTTTAAATTTTTTATAAGTATTTGACAAAACATATTTACTCTGGTTCGGTGATCATTCTAAATGATCTCTTTTCCTTCAGTACTTTCTGATAAATGTAGCTAATGAAACCTATCAAAGATATTTGTCTTTGGGAAGGTGATTTATAAAATTCACTTCTTCCAGGTCCCAAATTCAACCACAATTTGAATTTCTTTTTATGTTTTTAAAACCCAAACTTGATTTTTCACTTTTGAAAAGCCGTTTGACTGTCACCAGCCTTGTTTGTGTATCGTGACATTCCATGCCCCTCCTGTCCACCCTCTGTATCATGCAGCAGCCTTTCCCCACCTGACAATTGTTACTTTTATCCGAGGTCCCCAAACGGCAGCTACTTAGAGTAAAGAGGAATGGTGAACATAAATGTGTCTGTCCCCCAGACTAAGTTGCTTCTCCTCCTATGAACATCATTTCCCTGGAGGCAGTGGATTGAGGGGTTCAGGAGTAAATGCCCCTGGCTTCAAATGCCAGCTCTACCACTGATTTACGAGCTGTGCGACTGCGGGTAAATTTGCTCTGTCTCAAGATGGCTTCTTTATAAGTAGGGACGACAAAACTAATCACAGCTAACGTCCACTGAATGTTAGCTTAGCATGTGCCAGGGGCCTAGGCCCTATGCCTGTGTTACTATGTCATTTAATACTCACAACAACCCCCAAAGTGTTATTTCCCACCTCACCACGTGGTGAGAGTGAGATGAGACAGTCCCGGGAAGGCACCTCGCTGGGCACCAGGCGCACATGAGCTGTCACTGTGGGTTTATTCTCGTGCCCTGGTCCCTCCTTGCCTGGCCTCCTTCCTAGCACAGCCCTCACATCAGCCTGAGGGAAGGTCAAGGTGAGAACACCCTTCTTGTGTGCTTGCAAAGTCTTTGGGGAGGAGGCTGAGAGAACACAGAGACCATAGAACACACCAGAGAACAATGAGTTTTAAACCCAAATTACTGCTTTTTTGGAACAGGTTCTTCTTTATGCTTGTTTTTCCTACAGATTTTCTCATTTGGAGGATTTTCCCTTCAGTGCAGAATACTGAAGCAGAGTCTCCTGATGCGATTACCCATGGGTTCTCTCTCTTCACGGATGTACAACTCTCTCCAGCCGGGTCTTCTTTTAGCCAAGCTTGTCTGAAATCACAGGGATCCTGGCCCTGTTGTAGGCCGGAATCCAGGCAGTGTTGTATCTAGATGCACATGTTCAACTAGGAGAAGATTATCACAGAAAAGCATGGCTCAGACAAGGATATGATAATTGGTTTTCACTTATTTGATCTGAACAAATGATTGTCAAACACCAGAAACTGTGATTACAATGAGGATGCAAGGAATAAAATGAATAAAACATAGTAACAGTAACACATATGTGTTGAGAGTTTATTATGTGCCAATGCAACGTGAGGTGCTTTTCCTGTGGGTGAAGTCATTGAATCCTGGAAACAACCTTTGAAACAGATGCCCTTGTCTGTCATTCACGTTTTGCAGAAGAAGATACAGGCTGGGGGAGATCAGGGAACTTGCTCCAGGCCCCCCAGGGAGTGAGAGGTGAATGGGCAGCAGGATCTGGGAAGCTCTTGTGATCTGTCCTCCTCTTCCTACCCAGTCTTCGCCTGGTCTCTTCCCTCCCCGCCTTTCTGCACCCTTGTCCTGTGTGACTCCCCGTTGCCCTTAATATGCCATCACGCCAAAGTGTCAGTGGTGCTGCTGGCAGAGCCTGCAAGATCCATAAAGGTGCCACTGTTCAGTGAGAGAGAGGTGTGGTGTGGCCTTGGGAGTGGGGTGGAAAACAGGGCCCAGTTTGAGCAAAAAAAATGTTTACTGTTGCCATTAATGTGACACATTGATGGGGACCAAGATGACCTTGACCATCATTAAAACATTACATGAGATAGGTGGTTTGGCTTCCCACTGTGCTTATGTCCTTGGGCTTTTGCCCTTGCTATTCTGGCTGCCTGGCTTGCTCTGCCCTCAGATATCAGAACGATTCTGTGCCTCAATTTTGTTATTTCTTTGTTCAGTTTGCATCTTCTCAGCGAGGCCGTCATTCATCACCCCATTTAAAATTAATCCATCTGCTCTGACACCTTTCCTTACAGTATATTATTAACTAATAAATGCAGAAGAAATGATGGAATTAGAAAATCACTATTGTGGCAATCATATTAATAATTAATTCAAGAAACATCAATGGATGTCGAAACTAGTGGATAAAACTTTGATGAGGAATAGGATGTTTGCCTTGTCTCCAAGTAGCTCTTTACAAAATGGTTATTAATTACTAAAGAGAAAAAAGTTCCCTTACAATTGAGAAACTGGCAGATACCACTTTTAGTAGTTTTCTTTTGTTGCATAACAAATGACCAGAAATGTAACAGCTTGAAACAATACCCATTTATGATCTCCCAGTTCTGTCATTCAGAAGTCCAGTGGGTTCAACTGGGTTTTTTGCTTAGGGTCTCCCATGGCTGAAATCAAGGTGTCAGGCAGGCTGGGCTCTTCTCTGGAGGCTCTGGGAAAGAATTGACCCTCCAGCCTCACAGAGGTTGACAGAATTCATTGCTTGCATCTACAGGACCCAGGTCCCCATCCTCGTTTCTTTGCTGGCTTCCAGGTGATGGTGCACTCCATTCCTGGAGGCCAATCACAGTCTGACCCGTCTAGATCTTCTCCATGACAGCAAAGTAGAGGTTGTCTGGAGTTGAATCCCTGCCACACTTCCAATGTCTTTTAATTCTCTTCTGTTTCAAGCTACATAAAATTCTCTGCTTGTGAAAACCTGATTTCATTAGATTAGACTCAGCTGGATAATTACCCTTTTGCCTTATGCCACCATAATCATGGGAGTAAGGCCATCAGCCAAGGTCATAGGGTCATCTTAAAATGCTGCCTTCCATACAACCTTAATCAAATGATCAATTTAATATTACCAGGAATAAGACAAATTGAAATTGTGTACCACTTGATGGGATGCAATGGGAAGAATCTAGCTTCAGATCTGTGACTTCCCTGCTAAAGATACAGAATTGCAATCTTAACACTAGGAAACATAAGACAAACCCATAATGAGAAACATTCCACAAAATCAGTGGTCTATAGTCTTTAAAATAGTCCAAATCATGGAAGTCAGAGAAAAACTGGGGAACTGTTCCACACTGAAGAATATTAAAAAATATGTAAATGAAAGCAATATTTAATTCTAAACTAGATACTCTGGCTATAAATCATATTATTGGGGCAACTTGTCAAAATTTAATGAGGTCTGAAATGAAATGGTAGTGTGTTAAAATTAATCTCTTCATTTTTTTATTTAAACAGGTTTAGGGCTCCAAGTGATTTTTTGTTACATGGATGAATTGCATAGTGGACAAGTCTAGGATTTTAATATGCCCACCATCTGAATAGCGTAAGTTATACCCAATAGGTAATTTTTTTATCCTGCATCCCCCACATCTCCAATGTCCATTAAGTTACTCTGTATGACTGTATATAATCATTGCTTAGCTCCAACTTATAAGTGAGGACATGCTATATTTGGTTTTTATTCCTGAGTTACTTCACTTAGAATGATGGCTTCCAATTCCATCCAAGTGACTGCAAAAGACATTCTTTCATTTCTTTTGATGGCTGAGTAGTAGCCCATGGTATCTCTCTCTCTCTCTCTCTCTCTCTCT